AGCAGGGACTCACCTGAACTCTCCCCCAAACCACTCCAAATACCTTTAAACAATGATTTAAACAAATTCTAGAGCTGCAGAACTCAGAAAAAAGCAGTACCCTGAGAAAACTTGGAAGATTAACAGAGAAGGTCTGATGCAATGGGGTAAAAGAGGAGTGCAGTTCAGCACAGGCCATGTCAGGGCAGACTGGGCCCCAGAAAACCAGGACTAGGCCTCAGGGTGAATGAATCAGTGACAGCAGTGGTGGTTTCTAGACCTCTCAGCCCACAGATGGTAAAGGGATTGGATGATGGGTCAGAAGGAGATTTACAGGGGTCCTTTTGCTGACACCAGGGAAAGGACTCTGTTGCATTGCCTATACCTGGATCAGGATTATAGTCCTGCTGTCTTAGTCTCAGTGCAGGAAACAGCACTAGCACAGTAGAGCTTGCGGCAGGGGAACAGAGACCCAGGTTGCATTTCCGGGCTTGAAAACAATGCTTGTGGTTGCTCACAAATCGGTGCACAGTACAGGAGAGGAGTAAACACACCTCACAGAATGAATTACAAAGAAATGTGTTTTGCATGACTACACACGTATAACTTACTCAAAATGCTTGCCTTCTCAATGAGGGAGGGAGTGGGAGAATTCGGAACTCGATAAAAAAAATCAAAATTATTATTTTACATGTAACTGGGAAAATAAAATATTAAATAAGATTAAAAAAAATAAATCGAAGCCCAGAGAAAGAAGTGGTTTGCCCAAGGTCACACAACTAATAGGTGAAAGAACTGGAGTTCGAACTCAGTTGTCATGAGACCAAATGCACTGCTCTTTATTCTAAACCACACTGCTCTCTCTTGGAGACAGTTTGCTTTATATACATGTAGAGGGAGAAGAAATATGGCTATAGAGTGAAAGGCGCCAGGCTGGGCCTAAGATCTCTCTTCATACCCTAGTTCTGAACTTAATTTTCTGTCTAACCCAAAGTAGATCATTTCACTTTTAGGAACCTCAAAGAAAAAAGCCCCTCAATGCACTTCTGAACTTCCCTATGTCTCTCAAAGGCACCAGTTTTCCTTCCTGTCACCCTTGTTTGCAAAAATAGTCTTCCTTGACTTGTCATTCTTGCTCATTTCACATCTTTAATCACTGCCAAACAAACAAAAAAATTAGTAAGCACCTACTATATGCCAGGTATTATGGTAAACACTTTACGAGTATCCCATTGGATCCTCACAATACCCCTGAAAGGTAGGTGCTGTTATTATACCCATTTTTACACATGAGGAAATTAAGGAGAGAGGTTAAATGAATTACTAGAGGGTCACACAGTTAAGTAGCTGAGGCTGGATTTAAACTCAAGCTTTCCTGACTCCAAATCTAACCATCTATCTACTGTACCACCTACCTTCCCCTATGCCTAGAGCCTAGCACATAGCAAGTGCTTAATAATCTTTGATTGATAATGCAAGGCCATATATTAATAAGTATAGAGCTCTAATTTGAAACCAGGTCCTCTGAATAGAGAGCCAACACTATTTTCATTGAACCATATATTAATTGTCTGTTAAGTACAGTATAAATTAAATGACTTTCATATTTTTAAATGAAACCTCTCCATCTTCTCCCCTCCCACAACAGATATATTAACAAGTACATGGGAGTGGGGTGGGGAGGAGATTTGCTGAAAGATACTGCTTGGTAAAGGAAGCAGTGGAGAAAGGAACACAGTCCTTTTTCCTTTGAAGGAGTTAGGGCAGGAAGAGGAGCATTTTGGGACTTCACACATATATTATTCTGAGCCTATATAGGTTGGGGGTGGGGATGGGAGTTAAATCTAAGTTATATCAAACGAGGAATTCTTCCTTAAGACCTTTAACCTATAAAGCTCAGTTAAAGGTGGTTCACTGTACAGAACACTGGGCCTGCAGTAAGGAAGAACCAAATTCACATCTGGCCACAGACACTGATGAGCTGTATAACCCTGGGCAAGTCACTTTACCTGTGTTTGCCTCAGTCTCTCCATCTGTAAAATGGCAATAAAAGTAGAACCTACTTCCCAAATTTATTGTGAGGAACAAATGAGATAATATCATTTAAATGCTTCGTAAACCTTAAAACATTATATAAATGCGAGCCATTATTATTGTTGTTTTTATTGAAGAATCTGGCTCATGCTCAGGGCAGCTTTGGACTTACATCATACAACAAACCTTAAGGAAAGGGGAAAAAGAAAATATTCTCATTACAGAGTAACTGCAAAAACAAACCTTGACCTTCAGCTCTTAATTATTTTTGCCTCTGCCCTGTGTTTGTACACTGCTCTCCGCCTTTAAATAAGACACTTTCTCATTCCAAATATTGTCACCTTTCAGAGGTAAAAAGATAACTTTGAGAAATCCTTAGTCTTAAGATGTCTTGAAGTTCATTTTACCTTATTTGCACGCTATATTAGATAAAGCTGTTGGAACACTTTCTGGACCATATAACAAAATACTTCATTGCTGGATTACAATAGCAGAAGGCAGAGGATCTACAATTTCTTCAGAGGTGGAAAATTTCAGCTGTGGGAATTCACTCCAAGGAAAAAAATATAGCTTTCTAGAGATGTCTCAGAGAGTTGGCCAGGCATGTGGAAATTAGGTGACTTATCCATGTCATGGATTTGCACTTGGGTCCTTCAGACTTCAATTCCAATATGCTATTTGCTACCTTCCCAACATTACCCCCATCCCACTCCCAATAATAAACCAATCAACAAGCTTTTCTTAAGCTCCTACGATACTTTCAGGGTTCAAAGACAAAAAAAAATTGTCTTTGCCTTCAAGGAAAATCATAACTGAGAATTAGAGACAGCTTCACAGTTTATATAGACAACTTCTTTTGATTATCACAAGTATGTGAGGTAGGTACAAGTATTATCATCTCCATCTTTCAGATGAGAAAACTGAGGCTCATTAAGGGCAATTTGTTCAGGGTCCCATAGCTTATATGTGTCTCAGAGTCAGAACACAAAGGAAGCAGTGAAGATCTAAGTCAAGCACTGGAATCTGAGAATCTGCATTGATTTCTGATATTTAGCACCTGTGACTCAGTGTCCCTGGGCTTTATTGTCCTCATCTCTAAAATGAAGAGGTTGACCTAAATGGTCTTCAAGCTCCCCTCTACCTGGCGATTGTAAACTCATGTAGTTTCACCATGGCCACTAGATGTTTAGCATTGGACAAGTATTTTGGAAGACTAAGTCTCTACAGACTCCAAGGCCAGAGCTCTTTACAGCATACTAGGCTACTTCCCTGAGAATAGGGTAACCTGGTAAGAGTGTGGTCCAATGAAAAGAGCAATGTCTCTGCAGTAAGAGGAAATGAGTTCAAATCGGACCTTTGACACTTAAGATCTGTGTCAGCTTGGACAAATTACTTAGTTTCCCTCGTCCTTGGTCCCCTCATTTGTAAAATATTGGGGTTGAATAAGATGCTGACCTCTTCCAGACCTGGAATGATGATTTTTATAATCCCGAATCAAACTGTTGATGGAAAGAGATATTATCTGGGTTCTGTGAGTTCAATTTGATTTCTAATGAGCCCTGAAATACTTTTTGGTTTTGTTTTAATGGTGTTTTAAGCAAAGAAATTCTCTTCCAGATTTGGGAACTGATTAAAATATGGAAGTCCCATGTATTAACCAATGTAAGTGTATTTTGTAAGTGTATTAACCGATAAAGTGTATTAACCAATTTTGTAAGTGTATTAACCAATGAAGGAAATAAATAATGTTCCTTTTTTCCTCTCTTATAATCCTTAGTGGACATTTTCTTTTTTTCATTCCCAATAATCCCGAGAAACCCTAAATACTATTAGGGGAAATTTCTGCTATTAAGAAAACAAATTACCTGTGGATACATGCCCTCTTTGTTTCTGATTGAGCAAGTCTCACTGAATGAATAACTTTTTTCTAATTCTTCCTGACAGAAAAGGTGCACAATAAAATACCCAATATCACAGGACAGCCTGCTCTTGGAAAAGGAGAATGAGTAAAACAAGATTTCCAGGAATCATTAAAACAATAAATAAAACCATATGGACAGTTGGACTACATTAACCCTGTACTAGCAGGGACTGTACATTATAGCATTTGAGGGAGTATTCCATATCATTCCACATGCCTCACTAACAGGGCACAATACACTTTCAATAAATGATTTTAGTTTTCCTTCCTTCTTTCTTCCCTCCTCCTGCCATGCCTTGTCTTGCCTTCTTTGGTCCTTTCTGACTGCCTTGGATGAGAAAGTGGAATTCTTTAACCCCAGGTGACTTTTGTATGGTCCCTACTCCAGGACTGTTAACTAGAAACGGCACAAATTCAGGTGGAAGAGGGATTACACTTGTTCCATTCAGAACTAGTGGAGTCTCCTGGGTGAACCCCAGTTCTAAAACGCTCTCTCTCCTCCCCTCCAGCTCCTAGTCCCCCCTTCTCTGAGCTAAAATCCCACATTCTTCAGGAGTCCTTCCTGTCCCCCCTTTTCCTTCCTCCCCAGGATTCGAGTGCTTTCCTCTCTAAGCTCATCTTTCATCTATATTATATCCTCTGTATCTGTTTACATGATGCCTCTTCTAGTAGTTTGGGAGCTCCTTAGGGCAGGGACTGTTTTTGCCTTTCTTTGATTCGCTGTTAGCACAGTGTCTTGACACAGTGAGCGTTTTAATAAACTGTCGACTGACTGGAAGTTGGAGTGGCAGATTTTAGCTCTAGGTAAAGGGGAAAAAAGGTGGTGAGGTGAATAGAGTGTTATCTCTTCCTGAGTTCAAATCTGGCCTCAGACACTGACTAGCTGGGTGACCCTGAACAAGTCAATTAACCCTGTTTGCTTCAGTTTCCTCATCTCTAAAATGAGCTGCAGATGGAAATGGCAGATCACTCTAGAATCTTTGCCAAGAAAACCCCAAATGGGGTCATGAAGAGTTGGACACAAGTGAATAACCAGGAACTGCAGTAACAAAAGCAAATACTTAACAACTCTCCCAGATAAGTGAATGCCATGAGCTGCCTCTGGCGGTAGGGGCTCTCTCCTCCGGGTCTTGTTTAACCTCTGCATGCTCCAGCCTTCGGCAAGCATTTCTTGGTATATCATGGACCACTTTCTTCCTATTGTATGAGTTGTATTACATATCCCATGCTCGGATATTTGACTGGGGATTGCGTGATTTCGGAAAGCCCAGCTCAGCTGTTCCAAGTTGTCAGCCAGCCATCCACCCAAGCTCTTTGCTGCCAACCCGCCAAAGGAGACTATTTTTTTTTAACTTTAGGTTTCTTTTTCCTGTTTCAGCTCGTTCGCTTTCCATGCACAATTGCTCTCATACTACTCTGGCAGCCTTGCCCCCAAAGACTACCAGAACTCATGACTGGCATCCCTCGGATCATTCCCAGCCCACTTAACCACCTCCTCCCCTGCTCTCCTCCCTCCTCTAGTCCCGCACTCCCTAAATCCATCCCCTTCCCCTGCACTCCAGACTCCCAGATTGACAACCTGCCCCTTCCTACTCCGAACCAAACCCTGGCACCCGACCAGGGTCTCTAACAAAGCCGAGCTGCCGGCACGCTCCACCTACCCCTTTTCTCCCCCTCTTCCTGAATTCTGCAGCTCCCAGCTCGCTCTGCTTCTAATCTGACCTGCGGACTCTCTCCCAGCCTCTCCCGCGTCTGACTCTCTTTCTCTGTCTCCCTAAAACAGTAACAGAAAAGGGAGTAGCCCTTAGCTGAAGGTACGTGGTATTTCCCATTTAGTTCTTTGTGTGGTTCCACCCTCATACCCTTAGCAGAGTGAAGAATTACCTACCTGACTCTAGTCCTCTGGTCTGACTCGAACTGTGTGGTTAAAAGCCTTTCATCAGAGGAAATGTAGGAAGAAAAAAACACACACACACACACACACACACACCTGGGCAGGCAGAGACTGTTAACCAACAGACTCCGCCTTTGCAACGTAATTAAACCTCTAGGGAGAGGTCCTTCTTTTGAAATTGTGCTTTTCTGAACCCGGATCCCTTCTGAGTGAGACTGGTGACTTTGCCTAGCCCTGCCTCACTTACATCCAATTCACTTGTAAGTCAAGAGATCACCCTCCTGACGTCATTGGTCCTCTTCAAGAAGGAAGGATGAACAATCCCCACTCCTTTTCACTTCCTCCTTCTGTTTTTCTGCTATATAAAATCATGGAGTTGGAAGAACAGAGACCTCAATTCCTTTCCCAAGTCTACGATAAGATTCAATATTGAGACATCAATTGATGGTCATTAAGAAAATGGGCATGCACATTCACACAGCCTTCCTAATGGTACAGGAAACACATTTTAAGGGAGAGAAGAGGAAAACTTGTATTTTTGCCTGGGAATTGTAAAGATTCATACAGAGAGGAGGGAGTGATACATGTGAGCAGGCTTTCTGTAGATCTCAGTACAAACAGAGGGAGCTCTGATTCTGAAGAAGATAAGCAGTCATAGGAGCAAGGAGCTGGAAAGGACCTAAGAAGGCCTACTCCCTCATTTTACAGATGAAGGAACCGAGGCTGAGAAGATATCTGACTTGTCCAGGGCCATGCAGCTAGGTGCCTGAGCTTGGGTTTTCTGACTCCAAGTCTAACACTACTTCCTGAAAGCGTGATGCCCCTTACAGTTTAGCTAAGAGTGCACAGAGAGTTTGTTCCCAGTACTCAGACCTGCTTGGGCAAAGGCTTGGAGTGAGAAATAAAGGGACATTTGAATCAGATGTGTGATGGGATCAGTAAGAAGAGTGAGGTCAGGATTAATTAGGAAGCCTTGAATCTAACAAACCAGGCAACCAACAATCATTTATTGATCACCTAGGAGGTACCAACTGCTGGACTTAGTACTCAGGGTACAAAGTTCCTGAATTTTCCCAGTTTACATATTTACTAGATCCTTTGATTAGGTTGAATGACATTGATGATAGATAAGATGCAGTTAAAGCATTTTAGTGTTTTATTGTCCCCACCTACCTGAAGGGCAGGTCAAGTCAGTATTTTCTAAAGAAAAAAAAACTTGCATTGGAGAAACAAGTAAAATTCTAGAGATTTAAAAATTTGTTTTCTCTCTGGCCCTTAAAACCCTTCACAACCTGGCTCCTTTCACCATGTCCATTCATGTCACATTTTACTTCCCTCCACATACTCAGCAATGCTTCTCTGGGCTTCTTGCTGTTCTTCCCACCTGCTCTCTCCTCTCCTCCTAGTCTCTGCGTTTGTACTGGCTGCCCTCCAGAGCTGGAATGCACTCCCTCTTCACCTCCTCCACTTGGCATTTGGCTTCCTTGAGAATTCAAATAAAATAGCACCTTCATCAGAAGGCCCTTTGCCCTTGCTGCCAGATGCTAGGGCCTTCCCACTGAAATTACATCCATGTACTTTATATGTATTTGGTATGTACATAGTTATTTAGAATTACCCTCCCTTGTTAGGATGAGAGCTCCTTGAATCGTTAATTTTTTTCTCTGTACCCCATTACCTGGCACAGAGTAAGGTCCATAAATGTTTGTTGATATTATAATGGCTGATATAACATATTTTTGATACAATATTTTAAAATGCTTTACATATATCATCTCACTTGAGTTTCACAAGCTATATACTATATACAAGGGCCTTCTTCTAAATCTGGAGAGGACAGCTCAGAAAAATAATGTGATTTGCTTGTGATCACACAACCCGCAAGCCTCAGGGTTAGATATGAGATCAGAGCTTCCCTCCTCCAAATTCAGCCCTCTGTACCCTGCCTAAGACCCGAAAAAATAGAAACTCCTCCCCAAGCAATGGGCAGAGATCAGGGGTATCCTCTAGGAGAGATAGGATCTGGGTGCAATGTGGGGTTTCCAGATGTATCTCTCTCTCAGGAAGACAAAGAAGGACTAGAGAAGGCTGCTAAAGAGGAAGAAAAGAAGAAAGGACAGAGAGTGGGCATCTCCCTTCTAGGGAGCCCACATGGATCTCACACTAGATACGAAGACTATGTAGACCTATGGGAACACAAAATGATGTAGCACAAAGTCTGCAGAGTCAGAACCACAGTATACAGGATTATTAATTATAGCTTTGTGATTGTTTTCCCTTGGACAGGACCTGTGATTTCATTTACACTCCCAATGACGGACCTCCTTCTACCAATGCAGATTGTAGTTGCTCAAAACTCTTAGAAATTGCCTGAAGCACATGGAGGTCTAGCTTTTGGCCTGTGCTGAATCACCTGGAGGTGCCTCAGCAGAAGATGCCCCATTGTACATGTATAGCCTATATCAGATTACATGACGTCATGGGAAAGTGGGAGAGGGGAGGAGGGAGAAAAAGGGGGGACAGAAGAGAGAGTAAAAAATTGAAACTCAAAATCTTGTACAAGTGAATGTTGAAAATGATCTTTGGAAACACATGTACAAAAGTATTTATGGTAGCTCTTTTTGTGGTGGCAAAGAATTGGAAATTGAGGGGATGCCCATCAATTGGGGAATGGCTGAACAAGTTGTGGTATATGAATACTACTGCGCTATGAGAAATGATGAACAGGTGGACTTCAGAAAAATCTGGGAAGAGTTGTATGGACTGATGCTGAGTGACGTGAGCAGAATCAGGAGAACGTTGTACACAGTAACAGCCACACTGTGCAATGACTGACTTTAATAGACTCTTCTCTTCTCAGCAACACAAAGATTTAAAACAATTCCAAAAGACTTATGATGGAAAATGGTATTCACATCCAGAGAAAGAACTTTGGAATCTGAATGTAGATGAAAGCATATTATTTGCCCTCCTTTTCTTTTGTTGTTTTGTTTTGTTTGTTTTTTTCTTTCTCTTGCTTCCTCCCACTAGTTCTAATTCTTCTTTACATCATGACCAATGTGAAAATATGTTTAATATGAATGTATAAGTAGAGCCTATATCAGATTGCATGCCAGCTTGGGGAGGGGGAAGGAAAGAGAGGAGAAAATTTAAAACTCAAAATCTTATGGAAGTGAATGTTGAAAACTAAAAATAAATAAATTATTTAAAAAAGAATATGATTTATGCATGTAATCAGCAACAAAAAAAATACTATTAAGTGGGGAAAGATAAAGTGCTATGTAAGTGCTCAAAAAAAATTTAAAAAAGAAATTAACTGAAACAATGGGAAATTAAGTGACTGACACAGCCAGTGTGTTTAAGAGGCAGATCTTGAACTCAGGTTTTTCAAAGGCCAAAGCTACAGCTCTATTCTCTTGCTATGGGGCCTAAAATATAAATAATGAAAGTCACTACATAATTCCACAACAATGTATAGAAGATAAGAATTCAGAAAGAGATAGAGAACTGAGTGGAAAATTTTGGAAAAGTTAATATTTACATGTAAGATTTCTTTCATATTTCACCACCCACTCCCACCCCATGGGATGTAACCTTCTCTTGCAAAAGAAAAAAAAGCAGATAAGCAAAAACTAGATCTGCCTTCACTGGATGTGATAATGAATGCAACATTCTGACAGCATAAGTACCCTGAATTTGCAGAAAGAAGGAAGTTATGGGTTTACTATCTATTTTCCTGAACCATTGTGGCATACTCAGTTACTCAGTGTTACTTATCTTTTGGAGATCTTTTCATTTGCCTAACCATGGTCTTTCTGCATCTTATTCTTCCATTTCTTCTTATTTAACTCCAAATAAGTTCATATAAATCCTCCTGTGTTTCTCTGAATTCTATATATTTCTCATTTTTACTACATAATAATATTCTATTTTATTCATATGCAACAATTCCCCCTTTCTCTCTCTGTTTCTCCTTCTCAGAGTAATAAGAATTTCTGATTTCATGTACAATTTTAAGCCTTCTTTTTATCAATATCTTATTTTATATAACATCATTTCCTAATATCTACCTTCCCCAATCTAGTATTCCATTCCTTAAAAAAAAAAAGATTCAAAAACAATGAAAAAAAAAGTTAAGCAAAAGTAATCTTATACATTAACTATGTCTGATGGTATATGCAATATGCCATTCTAATGCAGAACATTATTTTGCCATTTAGGTAGTAGGGCCCTTTAAGCCATGGAAAGCAAAAGTTGGTGCTTAATCTTGCCCCAGACCTCTTTCCTCCTAAATCTAAACAATAGTGAAATGTACTCTTGCTTAGCTCAGCATAGCCCGTACCTCCAACGCAAAGGGATAAGAAAGCTTGCAATATAACTGCTTTAGATAATTATGTTTATAACAGAGACCAGGACACCTGGTCTGGTTTGTGTGATCTCTGATCCATAATAATGGGGTGCTTGGGTGCTTGTGCCCCAATTTCTCCCTAGTCTCAGAAACACTGTCTCTAACAACCATTCCC